GACCCATGCACCAAGAGGTTGCCGGTTTGATTCCCGGTCAGGGCACATGCCCAGGTTGTGGGCCCGATTTCCAGTGGGGGGCATGCAGGAGGCGGCCAATCGATGTTCTCTCTCATCAATGTTTGTATCTCTCTCTCCCTCTCCCTTCTTCTCTCTCCAAAAGCAATAAAGAAAAAAAGAAAGAAAGAAATGTGCATAGTACATAAGCCATATTTTATTTCTTGGATAAAGAATAAAACAACAGCAGAAAAGACAAATAAGGTCTGGAAACGTGATTTGGCCGAGTCTCCAGTTAGAGAACCCAGACCGAGGTCCTGCTCTGCCTGAGCCAAGGCTGCATTCCTCTGCGCCACTGGGCCCCTGACCCTCCTCCACAGAATAAGATTCAACTAGATGCTTCAGACCCTAGATCTCCATGGTTCTTTATACACAATGCGGCCCTAAAAGTACAAAGCTCTCTACAATTTGGAGATTTCATAACTGGGCTGCTACTAATTCATGAATGCAAGCATTAGCTCCATCTCAGAAAACAACGCGTCCTCTAAGAAGAAAAACACCAGGGATTCCTGGAAAATGCTTCCGTGCTGACTGGCTGTCCCGCGACGACACCTAGAATGACACGGCTGCCGGTCTGCAAGCAACGGGGCACCTGGGGAAGGCTCTCCCATCTGTGTGGTCCAGGAGGAACTCCCCAGGCTCATTCACAGATGATCACCACTGAGCCTTTGCCCTTTGTCTTTCTCTGGGAGGCCAGCCTATAAACAAGGCTTCAGACACGGCATCACACAGCCATCCATCCATGGAATATAAGAAAAGGAAGAAGCAGGAGCCATTGCCAGTGGGGAGAAACAGGCATACTTGCAAAATGTGCACCGAAGACAGCTGTGACCATAACGTCTGGCTGGTAGGACAAGGACAGGTCTGCCTAGGGGCTGATATAACCCTGAGATGTTATATAAATGCATATCAAAGTTGGCAGTCTTGCAGACATGCCCGATATTTAAAGAAAACCTCATGCATGGGGTGTCCTGTTTTGATGGTCAGATAAATAGAACAGTATGAGATTTTAGGCACAGTGTGCCTGGCTTCCAGGACACCTGGTCTGAAAGCCAGGCCTGGGACACACCTGGACCTGGGGTTCACCCGGGTGGCCTCCTGTTAATCCTGCAGCAGGAGATTCCAGCCAACAAAAGTGTACAGGCAGCAAGACGTGCACTGCAGTGCTTGGCCAGGCTGCCTCCACAGGCCGATGTGGGATCCCGGAGACCCCGGGGGGCTGCGTGCCCCCCGAGGACAGCTGCCTGTCCAGACCCCACCTCACTGCCGTCCCGGGGCCAGGTGCCTGTAAGCAATGGGACCTGATTTAACAGCGAGTGCTATAAACATATCAGGTGTTCTGTTACATAACCATTGGCCTCTTCTACGAAAGGAAGTTTCAGAATGTCATTACAACTTAACTCTAGAAACAGCATTTTCATGTGTCTTTTCCAGGCCATGTCTCTTGACATTTGGCTCTAAAAATATGGTCCATTATAGAAAACAAACATAGGCTGAAAATACTATCGTTTTTAAAAGGCAAAATACTTAAATCTAATTTATACTTGAACTTCTCATATTCTCCTTATATTTTCTGCACATGAGTTCAGGGTTTTGGTACAGAACTGTGCCTCAGAACAGAGCAATGGCTTTTGTCACTCCGCGGTGGTCACGCCGGTCCAGGGCCAGCACCACTCACCCCCAGCTTGTGTTTGGCTATTTGGGTTCCTTAGTAATCATGCCTCCTGGGAATTAGGAAAAATAAATCAATACACCGTGGCCACTAGACTTCATTTCTACATTTCAAATACTTTCTAAGAAACCAAATGAAACTAGAGAAAAACATATTGTTGGCATTAAAGGATCTGGTATCAATCCCTCTGGGACGCCGAGCAACATCCCAACTCCGATCTGGCACCCTGCGTTGATTTCCTTCGCCGGTCTCTGGGGATTTCCTGGAGACGTATATACCCCACACACTCAGGATGTGTGCCTGGCCTGCCCACAGTGAGCCATCGATCCCGGACCTCCCGGGTGACAGTCACGTACCGAATGTCGAATGCGGGAAGTGCTCCTTGTGGGGATGGAGATGCCTGTTCAGGAAACGTGGCCTTGGAACGTGGTTTAGAGTTTGGGTTCCAGAGTCAACCACTTGGGTTCAAACCCCAGCTTGGCCACTTACTGGGTGGGCGACCTTGAAGAAGTTACTCAGTCTTTCTCCGCTTCAGTTTCCTCATCTGTAAAATGGGTTTATAAAGTACCTACATCACTGGGTCGTTTGGAGGCTTAAGTATGTACAAATGATTACAACACTGCCTGGCATGTGGTAAGCATTTAATAAACATTAGCCGAAGTTATAATATTCAGAGCATCAGCCCATGAAAGCCAGAATGGATCACGGAAAGAGTCCAAACCCAATCAGATCTATGCCCACATCCCCTGTGTTTCAGAGTTTGTTCATGACTTCCCACAGTGATGTGTGGGGACCCGCGCTCCCTCCCGACCCACGAACCCAGACTGAGACTTGAGGTTTGCCATTCTTGTTCTGCTGTGGATTGATTCATCCAGCACCTACTTGAGCCTCTGCCTCTGTGGCTCAGACCCTGGCCGTGCCACTCTTCGTTTGGCCCTGGCTTCTGAGCCTGGAGGGAGCAGGACCCGAGCCTGGCGCGGGCCAGGTCTCCACACAGAGTATGGCAGGTGGGCGTGACACAGCAGCTCTGGGTACTCCAGAACTGTGTCTCCTACAGAGCAAACCAGCAAATATGAGCCCCTGCTGTTGGCTGGCAGTGTGCCCAACCCTGCAAAGGGCACGCAGGACAAAGCAGAAGCCCCAGAGCGTGGTTTCCCCAATGCCCCCTCTTTTAAACCAGAGTTTCTGGGAGCCCAGAGCCCCCTGGAGGGGTCACACTGACAGGGCGTGCCAAGGGGGAGAGACTAAGTCCAAGGAAAACCGGTATTCAGGGGAGAATATTTGGCGCCTGTGGACACTTGACTAACTTAGCAGGATAACCAGGTACAATAGCGAGATTAGAAAATAAAAGTGGTCCCACTAACATCATTTTAAATTTTTATTTTAACATTTTCTTTCTTAAACAGCTTTATTGAGGTATAATTAATATACAAAGAACTGCACCTGTTTACTGTGTACAGGGCGGTGAATCAGGACCTACAGGAACTCGCCACAGTCCTAACAGACATACCCCTCACCTCCAGGTCTCCTGCTCCCCGCTTTTATAGTAGGAACATGGATCGACCTTCCTAACACATTTGAAGTGCATGGAAGAGTGTTGTTAACTGAAGGCAACATGCTGCCCACAGGTCTCCAGCACTCACCTGTCTGTGTAACCAACTTTGCCCCCCCACCCCCGCCGCCTCTGCAACCACCGCCCGACTCTCCGCTTCTGTACGTTTGACCATGAACTACCTCTTGTAAGTGCAGTCATGCAGTCTTCGTCCCTCATTGTCTGGTTTATTTTACTTAGCATAGTGTCCTCCACGTCCACCTATGTTGTGGCAAATGGCAGGATTACCTTCTTTTTTAAAGCTGGGCATCTCGGTGGTGTTGGGAGCGTCAACACCAGCATAAGAATGTAGACGGTGGGGGTGCCGAGGTCACTCCTTGGGCTGCTTAGGAAAGAGCCACCTTCCCACCTCTGGGAGGTGTCAGATGGAGCCGGGAGGAGGGACACTGAGATGGTACGAGGACCCGGACCCCGTGCCAGCCCAGAGGAGCCTGCAGGGAGCGCGGGTGGGAGTGGGGACTCAGCAACAGTGTGTGGGCTGGAGAATTTTGTTCTCTTGCTGCCACTGTGTTTGAGGCCCGGCGACACTGATGTTACAGGAAAATAAACCATGACCTCTGGCTCCAAGGCACTTACAACCTCACCGCGTGACAAGACAAATGCAGAAAAAGTTCATGATGAAAGTGAACTTAAGTAACACTGCATGAAATGTCAGGTGACTACACGAGATTGTAAAGTGACTTTCAGAAGGGGCTCAAGGCAGACAGAGGCAGCCTCCCCCGTCCTGCCCCGCCTGTGTCTGTTCCTGTCCCAGCCCCACCGGCCTGGGTGCAGCTCCTAGGTCCCCAGCTGGGAGGCTGAGAAGCAAGGATCAGGGCAGTCCCTGGTGGCTGGGGCCTGGAGGGGCCAAGGAAAGGGACATGAACCGATAGACTGGACCAACCTCCCTGAGGACCACAGGTGAGATCTGCAGGGGAAATCTCCCCACCAACTTCTGACACTGAACTTTGCGTCTCTGCAGAAGTAAGCCCCTGTGCAACAGAGAGAACATGTCCTCCTCCTGTGCGTTCCACCCCACCCCACAGTGTTGGTGACTTAGTGTGGACACTGCCTCTCAGTCAGACAGCCTCACCCCTGCGGCTGCTGACCGCTGACCCTCCCTGTCCCTCTCCCCCAAAGTGAGCTCCCGGAGTGAGAAGAGGTGGCCACTTCACCTGATGGAACCTGGAGGTCATGGACACCAGTGGCTAAAACTCCCATAGAGTCCATTGTCAGATGGCTAGCCCTTCAAACATTCCCACCAGAGATCAGCTGGAAATATACCTTCCAATTCACCAAAAACACATCAAACAAGTACTGATTCCAAAATAGGGCTCCCGGCAAAGCGTGGCGTTGCCTTTACCTCCCTCAGTGAGCAGAAATGACCTCAGCCGTCACCGAGTGGGGGGCACCAGAGCACCAGCCCACAGGACAGACTCCCCTGTGAGGGGCAGCCCCTCACCCAGGTAACACCCTCCTAAGTATCAACTCCTCTTTGTAAAAACAGAATATATTCCAAAAACGGGCATGTGACTGTCATCTGCTTCATTAATTTTCACACTGAGGGCTCTGTGCCCCGTACTTTTTCTGGCCAGCGGACTGGACATTGAAGTGGAAAGGAAGCTGGTAACAATGGAGCCGCCGATGGGAATGATAACACGGTCTGCAGCGCGGTGTCGTCCCAGCTCTGACGCAGACTGCTGTTTATAGTCCTGCTCCGTGTGAATTCAGTCGAAAACAGTAAACACTGGAGAACATGCCAATTTATAATTAGGAAGTTGGTGTATTACTTTGGGTAGAAAATTGACAAATTTAAATTAAATTGTAGGATACATTGTCAGATTCTCTCCACCAGTACGTCCCACAAACAATCCACAAAATACCGTCCAGTCCAGGAGAACGGAGGCACCGTCGTGGAGGTTCTGCAGAACCCGGGTTCTCACAGAGCCCAGAGGAGCAGGAGCTGATAGTGGGAGCCTGGGGTGTTGAAGCAAACTCAGCTTCCTTCCTTTCCTCCTGAAGAGGAAGTGCAGTGAGCGGGACAAGACGGCCCAGGAAGGGCACCTTCTCTGAACGTCCAGGAAATAGAAACCAGGGAATCCGGTGTGTGTGTGAAACACACCCACGACCACCAGCCAGGGCACCTGCCGCCCAGGCAGTAGGAAAAGGCAGGCTGTCTGTCAGTCTCCTCTGCCTTGAGCTAACTTCGAAGCTCCAACTGAGACTCCAAAAGCAAGAGGAAGTGATGTGCAGGGCGTGGCACTCACCTTGGAACCGGTGGACTGTCCCCCACCTTCCTTAGCCTAGCGCTGAATATTTAAACACACCTGATTTTTTTTTTTTTCATCCTCACCCGAAGACATTTTCCCATTTTTTGTTCAGATAGAGGGGGGGAGGGGAGGGGGCGGGGAGAGAGAGAGAGAAACATCGATGTGAAAGGGACACATTGAGTGATGGCCACCCACACAACCCAACCAGGGCCAGGGACAAACTGCAACCGAGGTACGTGCCCTTAGCGGGAACCGAACCCGGGTCTCTCTGGACCACAAGCCGATGCTCTAACCACTGAGCTAAACCGGCCAAGGCTAAGCACACCTGATTTAATTTTAGAAATGTCATTTATGCAAGCCTTAACTTACAGGCAGTCTTTTCCAAGGCTCCACACCAAGGTCACTGAAATTGAGTTAACCTACCTCGATATCTATTTAAACTTTTAGATCTGGACCTATAAATCGGTAGCAAATATTTATTTTAAGTCAGTCAAGGTCATAGCTGTCTAAAAGGAAAGCTCCTTTTCTCTCTTTTCCCCACACAAATAACGAGTCTACGAATTGGTGACAGACTTCCAGTGAGCGTCCGTGTATGGCCTTGGCCATAGGGCGATCCGATGACCTATTTCCGATTGCACGTGATGTGGCAGTTTGTGTTTTTGAAGAAGGTGGTCCAATTTGTGCAAGTGGTCACACATGTGTATAGGGTGGTAAATCCGTCCCCTTTTTTACCTTTCGCTGTCCGCAGAGTCTGTAGTGGTATTTCCTGTATTTGTGTCTTCTTTTTTTCTTTCAATCTTGCTCAAGTTTTGTCAATTCTATTTCTCTTTCAGAGACCCAGGTTGCCATTTCACTAACTTCCTCTATTGTTTTTGTTTCCAATTTTATTAATTTCTATTCTTGCTATTTCCTTCCTTCCTCTCTTGTTTTGGGTTTACTGTGTTACTCTTTTTCTGCGTTATTGAAGTGGAAGCTGAGATTACTGATTTGAGAATTCTATCTCCTAAAATATGCATTTAGTCCTATAAATTTCTTTCTCAGCACTGCTTTAGCTATGTTCCATAAATTATGATATGTTGTATTTTCATTTTCATTCAATTCAATATATTTAAAATTTTTCCCTTGAGCTTCCTCTTTGGCTAATGGATGATTGAGAAGTGTATTATTTACTTTCCAAGTGTTTATCAATTTTCCTATTATCTTTCTCTGCTTGAATTTTAGTTTCATTTCATTGTGATTAGAGAACACACAGTATGTTTTCAATTCTTTACATTTGTTGGGGTTGTTTTATAGGGTCTAGATATGGTCTCTCTTGGTATATGTTCCATGAGCTCTGGAAAAGAAGGCGTATTATTACACTGTTTGGAGGTGGAACATTTTATGGATGTCGATTAGAGCTTGTTGGTTGATGGTATTGTCCAGTTTTTCTAAATCTTTGATGATTGTCTGTTTGCTATCTCACTGTACTTCCGGATTTATCTGTTTCTGCTTCCAGTTCTATTAGCTTTTGCTCCACATATTTACAGCTCTGTTGTCTGGTGCACACACGTTTGGAACTGTTGTGCCTTCCTGCTTAACTGACCCGTTTATCATTACACGATGCACCTTTCTGTTTTTGGTAAATCTTCATTGCTCTAATGTTACTCTATCTGATATTAATATAGATACTCCTGTTTTCTTCTGATTGGTGTTCACATGGTATATCTTTCCCCATCCTTTTACTTTCAACCTGCCTATGCTATTACAGTGGAACCTCGGTTCTCGAACTTAATTCATTCCAGAAGGCTATTCGAGAAGCAGTTTGTTCGAAAACCAAATCATTTTTTCCTATTAGAAATCATGTAAATTGAATTATTTCATTTCAGACCTCCAAATGATTCCCAGTTCTAACCTTTCTTATAGACAGCGCATATCTAATGTACTGTTTAATCTATAAATAAACACTTCTTTTCTTATATTTACCAAACCACCCCTCCTAGCCTTAAAGGAATCTGTCATCACTCCCTAGGGTGTCTCTCAGGGCAGCAGCTTTGCCTGTTCACTGTCACTGCCTCCGAAATGCTGTCACTGGGTGACTACTTTTAATTTTTCCAAACCAACAACAGTTTTCCTACTTCAAATTGCCCGTGTTGTTTCTTTCACAGCCTTACAAACATTAGCACTCTTGATGGCCTCTTTATGTTCTAAGATTGTGCTCAACATCCATTTCACCAGCAACAAAAGCAAAGAAACTAAACAAAACAAAAATATTCACAGCACAATTTCCTGAGATGTTAACAATGCAAAGTTTAGCAGTAAATGGACTCGCATTCTCTCCTTTGTTTTGTGACCTGAGAGACACTTTTTGTCATACTGATGTATCAGCATGAAAGGGCTGTCAGGTGGAGAACCGAAGTTTTGTTCATGACAGAAGTATTTTTTTCCATTAACCACTCGGTTGAGAACCCAACTGTTTGAGATGGGAGACATTCGAGAACTGAGGTCTGACTGTACCTATTAAGTGAAGTTCTTGAAAAAAGCATATAGTTGGGTCATGATTTTTTGTTTTTGTTTGTTTTTAAGAAATTTATTTTCTTTTAAATATGTTTTTATTAATTTTTTAGAGAGAGGAAGGGAGAGAGAGATAGAAACATAGATGTGAGAAAGAAACATCTATTGAGTGCCTCCTGCACACCCCCTATTGGGGATTGAGCCCACAACCCGGGCATGTGCCCTGACCAGGAACTGAACCGGGACCTCTCAGTCCACGGGAGGACACCACTGAGCCACACTGGCCAGGCAGGTCATTTTTTAATCTAATGTTTTCATCTCTGTTTCCTAATTGGGGTATTTAGACAATTTACATTTACTATAAGTATTGATATATTAGGGCTTAAGTGTTTTTTTCATTTTTCTGACTGGTTACTTTACTATATTTGAGAATTCAATTTTGATTATCTATCATGTTTTTGGGTATGTCTCTTTTGCATAATTTTTTTTTCTTTATTGATTTTTAGAGAGAGGAAGGGAGAAGAAGAAAGAAATAGAAACATCGATGAGAGAGGACGTTGATTGGTCACCTCCTGCATGCCTCCCACTGGGGATTGGCCCACAGCCTGGGCATGTGCCCTGACTGGGAATCAAACTGGTGACCTCTTGGTACATGGGTTGACGCTCAACCACTGAGCCACACCAGCTGGGCATAATGGTTACTCTAGGTGTTACATTATACATATATAACCTACCACAGTCTACTTAGTGTTATCATTACCAGTTAAATAGAAGTGTACAAGTCTTACTTCTCTTTATGGCCCTTTACCTTTACTCATTTATAAAATATTTGTCTTAAATGTATTTCCTTTACATACATTGAGAACTGTATTAGACAGTGTTGTAATATTTGCTTTACCCATCAAACACGATTTCAAAAGCTCAAGAGGACAGGGAGAGTCTATTGTTTCACCCATATTTTTGTTTACCATATTTTTTCTTCCTTTCTGATATTCCAAAGTTTCTCCTTTTATCTTTTTATTGGTTTGTTTAGAGAATTGCCTTTAGTTATTCTTTTTTAAATTTATTTTTATTACAGATGTTTCTCCTTTTTTCCCCATTGACACCTCCTCTCCATGCCCCCCACCCCGTCCCCAGCTTTGTTGTCCGAGTCCATCGGTTATGCGTACATGCATATAAGTTCTGTGGTTTATCTCTCCCCTCCCCCTGAGGGTTGTCAGTCTGTACCCCACTTCCACTTCTCTGGGTCTACCCTGATCCTCAGACTGTTATGTTCATTATATTCCACAAATAAGTGAGATCATATGATATTTGTCTTTCTCTGCTTGGCTTGTTTCACTTAAGATAATACTCTCCAGGTCCCTCCATGTCGTCTCAAAGGATAAGAGATCTTTCTCTCTTACAGCTGCATAGTACTCCATTGTGTATATGTACCAACGTTTTTTTTATCTATTCGTCTACTGATGGACACTTGGGCTGTTTCCAGATCTTAGCTTTTGTAAATAGTGCTGCTATGAACATGGGGGTACATATATTCTTTCTGATTGGTGTTTCAGGCTTCTTAGGGTATATTCCTAGAAGCGGAATCACTGGGTCAAACGGCAATTCAATTTTTAAATTTTTGAGGTAACACACATTGTTTTCCATAGTGGCAGCACCAGTCTGCATTCCCACCAGCAGAGTACTAGAGTCCCCTTTTCTCCACACCCTCGCCAACACTTGTAGTTTGATGATTTGTTGATAGCAGCCATTCTGACAGGTGTGTGGTGATATCTCAGTGTTGTTTTAATTTGCATCTCTCTGATGATTAGTGTCTCTTACCATTTGTATGTCCTGTTTGGAGAGGTGTCTGTTTAGTTCCTCTGCCCATTTTTTAATTGGGTTCTTTATCTTCCTTTTGTTGAGTTGTATGAGCACTCTATATATATTGGAAATTAACCCCTTATCTGATGTATTATTGGCAATTATGCTCTCCCATACAGTGCTC